GCAGAGACATGTGGTCTGGTAAGAATACAAGGATGCTATCCAGATCTGTCATGCAGAGATGGTATTGGAAAAGCCAAGGTGCATATGGAACTGAACTTAGTGAGGGGTGTGAAAATTAACAAGGGGTTCTACAGGTACATAGGGCAGAAGAGACAGGCAAAGAAGGGCATACCCCCTCTGATAAATGAGAAGAGAGAACTGGGCTCAACAGACATGGAAAAGGCTGAGTTACTCAGTGGATTCTTTGCCTCGATCTTCACTGGCAATCAGGCTTCCTATGCCTCTTGTGTCCCTGAATCTCTAGGCAAGGATCAGGGGAACAAAATCCCTCCAGCTATTAAAGTAGAGCAAGTCAGGAAGTGCCTCATGAGACTAAATGTGTACAAGTCTATAGGGCCAGACGACATGCATCCCAGGGTTCTGACCGATGTGGTTGCTGGGCCACTCTCCATCATATTTGAAAAGTCATGGCTGTCAGATGAAGTCACCTGTGAGTGGAAAAAGGGAAACATCACTCTCGTTTACAAGAAAGGGAGAAAGGAAGAGCCAAGGGACCACAAGCCTTTGAGCCTCACCTCTGTGTCTGGGAAGATCATAGAGCAGATCTTCCTGGAAGATATTTTAAGGCACATGCGAGATGAGGAGGTGATCCAAAACAGCCAGCACAGCTGTGTGTAAACAAACCGTGCCTGGCACCAATGTAGTCTGCTAAGTGATGGCTTCAGTGGACAAAGGAAGGGCAATTGATGCTTGGACTGTCTACGTGGGGCTTTGACATGTTACCACACCACATCCTTATCTCAAGATTTGAGAAATACGGATTTGAAGACTGGACTATAAAAAGTTGTTTGGAAGGTCATAACCAGAGGGTTATGGTCAGTGGTTCTATGTCCAGGTGGAGGTCAGTGAAGAGTGGTGTCCCTCAGGGGTCTATTTTGGGACCAATGCTCTTCAACATCTTTTTAAACAACATAGTGGGAGTGTATCCTCAGCAAGTCTGATGATGACACTAAGCTGGGTGGTGCAGCTAATATAAAAGAAGGAAGGGATGTCATCCAGAGGGATCCAGACACACTCAAAAAGTGGGCTCACAAGAATCTAATGAGGTTCAACAAGGATAAGTGCAAGGTGTTGCATTTTGGTCAGGGTAATCCCAGGTTTGTATACAGTCTGAGTGAACAGCTCACAGAGAGTCCTTCTGCACAGAAGGACTTAGGGGTTCTGGTGGATGAAAAGCTGAACATGAGCCAGCAGTGTGCTCTTACAGTCTGGAAGACCAACTGTATCCTGGGCTGCATCAAAAGAGAGATGGCCAGCAGGGAGAGGGAGGGGATTGTCCCCCTCTGCTCTGCCCTCATGAGACTCTACATGGAGTACTGCAGCCAGGCCTGGGGCCCTTGGCACAAGAAAGATGTGGAGCTGTTGGAGAGTGTCCAGAGGACCATGAGAGATGATCAAAGGGCTGGAGCACCTTTCCTATGAAGAATGATTGAGGGAGCTGGGCTTGGTTAGCTTGTAGAAGAGGTCTCTGCGGAGACCTCACTGAAGCCTTCCAGTACTTGAAGGGAGCTTATAAAGAGGAGAGAGACCAATTTTTTACATGGTCTGATAGTAACAGGACAACTGGGGAGGTGGTTTTAAACTAAAAGAAGGGGGAATTTTCATTATATGTTAGAAAGAAATACTTTATTCGGAGAGTGGCAAGACAATGGTACATACTGCCCAGAGAAGCTGTGGATGCACCATCCCTGGAGGTGTTCAAGGCCAGGTTGGATGGGCTCCTGGTAGCCTGATCTAAGTAGGTGGAAATGATAGGTGGATTGGAACTAGGTGATTTTTAATATCCCTTCTAACCTATGCTACTTTATAATTCTATGAACTCAGCACAGTGATTCACTGCCTATATAGCTTTCACACTTAAAAATGACCACCCTACATCGCTTGCAGATAATTCATCTAAGGTGCAGCCATTTCTTTCAACAGGCCTGCACAGTCAGAGTAGCAGCCCCTTGTCCTAGTTCACCAAGAAAGTCTGCAAGTCCCAGAGCATGCTCTTAGGAGAAAATGGTATGGTTCCTTGCCACCTATAGGCTTCACATTGAGTATTCTGATTGTCATGCTGGAAAGTATAAACATTTTGCAGCCTGTTTTGAAGAATTAAATTCTCATCTCCCATTTCCCCAGACAAAACCCTAAGTTGTGATTCCTTGCCATTGCAGCCAGTTCTGTTGAAGACAATACTCTTTGCATTTCACTTACTTTCAGAGAGGAGCCATGTTCTTCTCATTCTGACTTGCTGCTATACAGTCCTTCTAATATATGCTTAGGCTGGATTTACTGTTTCACTCCCCAGTATAAGAGGCAAGTGAGCTGCAGTTCAGTTCCTGAAAGAAAAGGGCAAGAGCTAATCCTGGAGATGACATGCAGTTATGAATTTGGGGGTAGCAAGAGGTGACACGAGCACAGTCAGCAGCAATCTGGGATCTACTATAAGGATGCATGAGGATGGGTCTATATTACAATGTTACAACCTTATTATATGTAACTATATTACAGCAGAGCAACAGAACTTCTTCCCTTTGATGAGTATTTACAGCACTCAGGAGTAACAGACTTGAGCTTATGTCCTTGACAATCTGAGAAGATACAAACTCATATCCCAAGGAAAAACTCTAACCAACAGGCCTTCACAAGATAGAGAAGAGTCTGTCTCAGGCATAGAAATAGCAGGGTTTTCTCCTTGCATCCACACAGATGTTATTTTTCTAGAAACAAAACTTCTAGTTGTGTATTCACAGTCAGAGGATAATTCCAATTGGAAGGGATCTCAGGAAGTCTCTAGTTCAAACTTACCTCAACTACAAATAAGAATAGGTTGGTCAAGGCTTTGTCCTGTCTAGTTTTGAAAATCTCCAAAGATGGAAATTGTATATGTAGCTTTATATGTATATATAAAGATGGAAATATGACTATGTAGCCACTGGATGGCCTGTTCCTCTGCTAGACTGCCCTCGTATGGGAAAAGGTTTTCCTTACTATCATCTAAACCTCTTTTACTTTAACAAATGCCCGCCACTTTTCATCTTCTTAAAGCACCTCTGTAAAGAGACTGCCTTTATCTTCTTAGTAACATCCTGATAGGTACTGACAGGCTGCTAGGAAAGACAGTTTTGCTCCCTATATCCAAAGCTGAGATGCAGTAGACAGGTTCCCTTGAAGAAACCCCGCATCCCCCAGTCTCACCCCACAAGGTAAAAGCTCCAAACCACAACCATCTTGGTGGCCTTCAACTCATTCCATTTTAATATCTCCTATGTGGGTTCCTGAAACTGGACATGGTGTTCTAGTTGCCATCTAAGTAGTAGTGAGCAAGGGTTATAATCATTCCCTTCCACATACTAGCCATGCTGCTGTTAATAAAGCCCAGGACACGCTTTCTTTGTTGCTGAAGCATATGGTAGGTTCTTGTTCAGCTTACTGCATGCCATAGTCCCCAAGGTCTTTCTTAGCAGAGCTGCTCCCCAGACAGAGTAACACCAACCTGCATCACTGCAAGGCCAGCAGGCATCATCAAAGATACTCAGTCTTAGGCATGCCTAGCTGTTCCGGATTCCCCAAGTAGTTCCTAAATAAAGTTCACAGTCCTGTCTGCTCCAAATCTGGATCATGCTGGAGCTTGCAACTTGTTCTATAGAAGGGTGATCAACTCCAGAGAACAACCACTTCTGAGCACATGGGAAAATCAGAAAACTTCCAGGTTAAGTACTGGCATTTTACATAAATTCACCCTTACAGCTTCCTGCACTGAATGCTGCTTTCTATATTTCCTATTGTCAGACATCTAATTTTTCTGCATTAGGTACAGGAACCTGTACTCTAATTTGGCCTATGAATTCCTCACAGGACATAAAAATGTGAAGGTTCACTTCATGAGTTAACCTTGTGACTGTAGTTCAGAATTACAGGGTTTACCTCCATAATCCAGGCTACCTCAACTAATGCATCTGCTTTTCTTCTCCGGCTAAATCAACATAGTTTCCTGTAACCTCCCCTCTCACCACTATGGCTTTTTCTTCTGAAACCTCCCAGTGCATTTTACTTTACCAATGGAAATGGATGTTGTGTTCTGCACATAATCTGCTGAGGAATAAAAGAAGAATTAACCTATAGGAGAAAGCAGAAACCTCATTCTCTTGCCAATGGAGAGAAAAAATTCTTGTTGCCTCAGTGCCCAACACCATACATGGTGACCCTTCAGTCCCAGTCTAAATGTTCAGACCATTGGCCCTTTGCTTTGTCCAGTGGTGTGTCCCACACAAGACAAACATGACCAAGCTGTGACACAGACAAACTGCAGACAAGAAACTGGATCAATTCAAGGTTGTAGGCCATAAAGCCAGTCATAAGAAAAGACCAGAGACACTTAAAAAAGTGAGTAAAATCTCTGCTCAGCCTCAGCTGAGAATGGAGAGACTTAGTATAGTTCTTTGGGTCTGAAGCCATCCATCACTTCTGGTATCTGACTTAGGACAGTGTCCTTCCTGCCGTATTTCCTCTTCCCATGCCTTCAACTGTGGCTGCTCACCTGGACCTGCTTCCTCCCACTGAAGCCATGTGCATATCAATCATTTTTCTCTAGAAAGCAGCAGATAGCAGGTTGGGTATAATTGTCCTCATTTGACAGTCTCCTCAGATCAGCATCTTGAGTGGGAATGCATGTCCTTATCTGCCCCTGGTTTGGCTTTGGTGGATACCAGACAATCATCAAAGCCAAGTCCTTGACTTCAGAGGTGCCCTCCTGTCAAGACCCGGGACTCTACAAATGGCCAGCACTGCCTCAGCGTACAGGGCTCACCACACCTCTACCCAGATGAAGTCTAGAGATTCACTGTACTTTTCCCCAAATCCCCGAGGGACCAGCATGCAGTGAGCCTCAGATACAAGCAGCACTGAGATCCACAAAAAATGTTTTCTCTGTAGGAACAGCCACTGGAGTCACATACAGGAGAGCTTTATTTGCTACAGCCTTCATCCAGAAGATGGGATTCAGAGTCCTGTACATCCACACAGGATTCAAACTTACATCTTCTATACCCATAGAAAGTACCCTGAAGTGCTGAATGTCACCCATGCATCAAGCTTAAAGCACTGATGTGCATCCAAGTCATGAACACCATCTGACCTTGAGGTGCCCCAGGGAGATGTCCATACTGCAGAGTTCACTTTAGTTGGTTCACCTGGGAAAAAAAGCACAAGTATCATGAAGGATCAGTGTGCCTGACTGACATTTCCCAAAGGTTTATGAGTGTCCAGAATGTGAATTTGGAAACAGGCTATAAAACACCTTTGTGCACTGAGGTCACTGGAATAAAATGATAAGCAAAAAGATGATAAGCATGTCTTTAGGACTACAGAACGGTAACAATGTTCTATAGACAAACAGAGCTCTATCCCATCTACAAGAGCTAGTCCAAATAATTTCATATATGATTACAAGCTGTATTTAAACCCTCAGAAATATTTTGTATTCACCCACAACATGGAACTGTTTGTAAAATTCAAGGGATAATTAAGGCAAAGTCTCCTAGAGAGCATTTTTTATTCCAACCCTTTTTTGTGCCAAGATACAAAACTTTTGGCTCATGTAATACCTGTGCTCCTAAGGTGCATCTGCACAATATACAACTGAATCTGGACTCCACGAATGCTTAAGCACATGTGCCAATGATATCAATAAATAATTAGCAGAGAGACTTTAAATGAGTTATTATTTCTGTCATTGTAAGTTCAGGATCCATAGGTACAGAGACAAAAAAAAGGAATTTGTTGTATTGGATCTTCAAAAGCTCCATTCTCTATGACTGTAGGTATATGCTAATCCATATGGTGAAAGATAATTTTTAAAGTTTGCAAATTTCACCCTTTGACTGTTGACAAACATATGTTTTCTTTTGTAGCAAGGAAAATGGAGCCCTCTTTTGAAGTTCTTACTGGGTAAGGAAACTTAAGCTCATTTTTAGCTATAAGAAAGTGTCCCAAAGAAGGACACTACAATTCCAATCAAAGCAAATGGCCTGCAAGGACCATCTGTTGCTCTGCTGAAATGCCTGAATAAGAGGGTGAACTAAGAGGAGAGAGCTGATAAATCAGAACTTTCTGGAAACATCCACATACGTAGATGTTACAAAAAAAGAGCAGATTCAGGGGGAAATAAGGAACTCTACTGATACTGGGAAGGAGGGGGACTTCTAACTGGGTGCCAGGTTTTGAAGATTTCAAATCTGGATAGGCATTTTGGAGCGCTACACAGGGCTGCGTGCTTTTTTACTCTTTCTGTAAGCTATGATTTAGCTCAGCTGCAAATTGCCTGCGTAGATGAAGAAATCACAGTGTGAAATTGTATGCCCTGTGCTGCGCAGAAGGTCAGAGCAGAGGACCAAAATGGGCCCCCTGGTCTGAGAATCCATGGAGTCTGCTAGGTCTTGGAGAAGGTAACATCAGTGCAGACAAGAAACATGGAAACGAAGTACATAGGTACGATGCATTTTAAATGGAGATCTAAATTTAAACACGGTAGGTTAGTCAGAGGTTATTATTTTTATTTACTGAAGCATTTATATCGTGCATGTAAATGATTTGTAGCTTAAATCACTTGCCGTATGTGCCTAGATGACAGAGATTATTCTATTGAAACCCTGTATATTTCTATATTAGTGGCTATTACCAAAGAAAGACCTTCTCGTATCACCCGCACCTGCCCCTATATGCCCTCTGCCTTGCTGACAACCGACGGGCACGGAGGAAGGGTCGTGCAAGCGGTTCACCCGGCTCCGTCGGCCACGCGTCGTCGCGGCCATCCCCGCCCGGCCCGGCCCGGCCCGGCAGGAGCCCCGAGGAGGCAGCCTGGGATCTGCAGCCGGTAGGTGGAGCACAAGGCCAGAGCTGGGCCGCGGAACCGCCGTGTTTTGATTCATAAAATGCATCAATCCTCCGGGATGAATAATAAGAGGAAAGCGCAGCGACTGCGCGCTTCCTCCGAGGTGAAAATTCTCAGCGTCCCAGCGCTCGTCTGGTTGCGCTGCGGGTGTTTATGGTCTCCCTGGATTTGGGTGGGAGGAGGAGGAGATCTGTGCACCTTCTGCGTGTTTCTGTCTGGGTTTCGCTCACCTTCGAGCTCACACAAGTGCGCTTCCATCCCCGTCCTGCACCTGAGCAGCGTGCAATGGCTGCTGCCTGGCACTGTCAGGCTTAGAGTGCATTGTATGGGGAGCAGATTGTAAAGCCCGAGAAGCAGAATAATTCCATTTCTAAAAGTCTATTAAGGAAAAAAAAAAAAAAAAAAAAAAAAGAAAGAAAGAAAGAAAGAAAAAGAAAAGCAATGAAGAACAAAAAGCACACTCAAGAGCACTTTAAAAAGTTTTCAGCTAAATGAGCCTTAAGCAGAGAGAAAGCCCTGAATTTCAAGGTCCTGTGAGTCTTGGAGAAGCTCCATCATCATTGTCACAGCTTACGTACAACATTGATTTTTGTGTTATTATCCAGAGCAGACAGGACATAATGTGTGAACATCTACCATCTATTTTTCCGCTGGCTTTTATTTCTAATGTGCCTCAGCCTCTGAGCAAATGTGAATCTGAGCCCCTTCGTTCAGTAGAATTTATTATCCTTTGGGGAGGGGGACCAAAATCACAATTGTAAGTGCTCCCTCCGCTCACACACGCATGCACGCACACACACACTAGATGTGCTGTCTGTGCACCACTCCCCTATTGTTTTCACTGTAACTGATTTTGGCATCAGCTCTTTAGCACTTTGGAAGGGCCTTCATTAGCACTGGGACACTGTCCAAAAGGAATCCAGAAAAATCAACACATGGCTGCTCTTGTTCTCATGATAAATGACAGCTTTGGCTGAAAAACAACAACAGTAAGGAAGCAAAACAAAACCCAAAAAGCAACAAGGGTAGCCATAATGTGAATAGGAGAAGTCAGACATGACTAAATCAGCCTGGATGGGGAATGGGGTTGACTGGGAGGGGGCAGGGGGATTCCTCCCTTGGTACTGGATTTAAAAAGTGGTTTGGCCTTTCTGCTGAGGTGGAGGGGGGCTCATTCTCATAGGGGAGAGATATAGGGGCGTGGGGAGAGGCAATGAGCAGACACCACAGCTTTGGTGGCACGAATGAAAGGGCAGTGGTTTAAGGACAATAAAATGTCTGCCATCCTCACGGGGAAGAGGGATCCACATCCCTTCTATAAAGCACAGCTTACGAATGCAGTGAATGTATTCGGCTGCTGTATTAACCCATTTATTCCCCAATGGCTGTGTTTACACTCGAATCCTGAAGTGCTTACTCAGGCAAAACTCCCAGTTGACCTAGTCCTGAAGGCTTTAATCAGGAAGTATGCCCAGTGACTTCAATGGGAGCTTTGTCTCAATAACTATTCAGGATAAGGCCCATAGGGATCTTGAAACTAGAACTAATTGAATTTTTTGCACGGCATGCCTTTTCACTTGAAAAGAACTCCTTTTACCCCAAAACAATTCTTCACTAAATATGTCAGTCATTTTTCCTTATTATTTGAAATTTTCTATCATATTTTACCAGGATGCTCACAGACCTCTTACTTTGTACGGAAATCAAAACGAAACAAAATCATTATGGAGATCTTGACTCTTTTCCTAAGGAAAGAAAAAAAAAAAAAGATAATTAGTTAACTAGTTTTGAAACAGTGTTGGTAAAAAATTGTGGAAAAGACCTAAAGAATGTCAGAAAATAAGTAAATGTCTTTTTTAAAGCAATAAAAATAGGCTTGCTGAGATTTTTTTGGTGGCGGTATTGTTATATACTTCCCTTGCATTTTGATGTTTTTCCATTAAGAACTGTGGCATATTATCAGTGAATACACAAGTTTGTATATAGTTGTTTTCAATCACCACAACCAATGTTTAAATTCATTGTGGAGCTTCTAAAAAAAAATTTAAAAGTCAGCCCTGACCTTCAAACTTTTCCATGTGCTAAAATGGATGAGTTCTGAGGAATCCTTCAACTTCAACAACTGTTTTAAGCTTGCTTTCTGCATGGAAGACAAATATGGAAAGAAACACCTGAATGAAAATTTTGAGGCAAATATCCCAAAAGTCTGTGAAAATGTGTACAAAGCCATGACTACAAGGCAAAGATGTCCTGGATCTGTTTACAAAGTGGGGTTTGTGCCTTTATTTGTGCCTTTATTTTCAAGCCTTAGAGTAGACTTCTTTCCTAAAACTATATTTCAGGGTCTGGAGTCCTATCTAGCAGAGTTATGGTTTTAAAACACGTTTAGAAACTATGTTTTCAAATGAGATATTGAATTTCATGGGAGGGGAAAAAAAAAAATACAAACTGTGAGTGCAAATCTGCTGTATATAAACGGAAGCAATGTTTTCCACAAATTGTTGGTGAGCTTTGCACACCATGCGCCTCATCCCAACTTGGCACATATCAGATGGCTGGTCAACAGTGACCCATGAGAATACACACAGGGCCCTTACACATCAGCTGCATTACAACTTGTTCATTACCACACGCAGCATCCCACATTGATCATGAATACATATCATTAGAAAACAGGCTGTACGCTGATGAGGAGTTTGGAAATTGTCCTGCTTGAAATTCATGTAAGGAGTGTAGCTTTGATAGATTTTTGGATTGCTCACTTAATATGTTTAAAACACAGAAGAGTATTTCATTGGAACTTGCATTATCCATGCAAAAACACTTAGAAGAAAACCCTATATACTGACTTTTTTTTGCTACAGCAGAGGCCTGATGAGGCTTGCTGGCTGATCCCCTCTGGTCTCTGAATTTGACTCAAGGCTTTAACAAACTTGGGTCAAGCCATCATTCTGAACCCACATGAACTCACACCTCCCAGTGCTTTCAGATGAGCTTCGTGTAAAGCTGGATCCTTTCATAGCTGCCGTTCAACAGAAATTCAGGGGCACTATTGGATTAGAGCTGATCCTTTCCCATACCGCCCTTGCAAAGCTAAATCACTGAGAACAATCAGTTGAGAGAGTTCTAAATTCCCTTTCACACCCACCCAATTAAACTTTTATCATATGGGTTGATCCCGTGATATAAAACACAAGTGTGTCTTAATGCAATTTGAAGTCACAGGCAGCCTTCTGGGAGAAGGGCAGATGCCTGATGTACCTTAAGCTGATGTATTAGATGCTGTTTTTTCCTGCTTTATGCCATTAGTACACTTGTTCACCATCTCCCCTACCACACTGCCATCAGGGAGATCTAAGCTTGGCAGCAGGCTGGGATCCCTGCCTCTGAGCTGAAAGAGGTTGAGCTATTTGCAGAAATAATGCTTTCCAGACGTACTAAACAGCACTCATCTTTCCAGATGGAGGGGCATTAGTGTTGCTTCCAGCCATCTCTTCACCTTCTGGTGTACTTGCCACTCCTCCCTTATGCACCATGAGCCTTATGCTGCAGATACCTCTCTGCATGCTGAGAAACTCAGCGATTCGCCTGCACCTTGCAGCCTTGCAGCCAGCTGGAGCAGTGATAAATCTCATCCCATTTTAGTGGGGGACTCTTGAAATAGGAAACAGGGGGCTCTGGAAGGAGCAAGATGTTCAAGGACCTTTTGTCCCTCCCACGTTCTGTATTTCTACCCAAAGGTTTGAAAAAGGAGAGGATTTGGCAGGTAGAGAATCTGCTGAAGATAAGCTCTGATGGCAGCCAATCTAAAGGGGAAGAGACAGAGAAAGTCAGTGATGAAGAGGTAACGGCCTCAGTGCTTATGCAAAGCTTTTAGTGGTCCCACAAGACCTGCAGGCTGCCTGGTCCAACGACCAAGGGCTAAGAGCCAAGCCTTCAACATGGAGATCTTGGATCTGTGGCACACCAGGCTACATCAACTCTGACGAGGTCATCTGGATCACATGAATGCTTCAAGTCAAACAACTGAAAAAAAATTTATTATGTTTTTCTTTCTCCCCCTTCCCCCCCCCCCCCTTTTTTTTTTTTTTTTGTTCTTCATGTGAATCCCCAGTGGAAGAAATCCACCGAACAAGCATGTTGATTTTGGCAAAGGCACACACAGTCACTCTGTTCTAAAGATGAGCTGACACGTGCAGATTCACAGATTAGCCATTTCTAAAGGTTAATTAAATATTGCCATTGTTTTCCAAGCTATTAATGTATGTTATTCTATTTTTCTCTGTTTAAGAACATCTGGGTTTTGGAGTTAAAAAATATGCAACCCTCTGTCCTCCTTCAGAAAAGGTCTTAAAAAACACACACAGAGTGTCTCCTTTAAAAATAAGGAATGGTCATCCTCAGAGTCACATTACATAGTTGAGAAAAAAATCTTAGAAAAATATTAGGAAAAAATGTTCTTCCATAAATCAAAACATTCGATGTGCATTCTCGTCTGCTGAGGGTGTCTCAGGACTAACTCACAGCAAATGAGCTGTAAGAGAGTCTCCTGGTGTTAGTCAGCCTGTCTTTATTTGCTGAAATTACAGAAAGTTATTACACGTAGACATGTTCCTCGCTCCATCCTTGCTGCCAGGATGTGTGACAGCCAGTTCTGTTTGGAGTGCTGGCAACCACTGGGTAAATGAACTGGATCTGCACAGCTCTCTTTGTTTCTGTCCAGTGTGCCTTCTCAGCATTTTGGATTCAGCTTATGGACAGATGTGAGGTGAAAGAAAGAATGAGTAGGATTAGAAGAATGCATCCCTAGTTACAAACAGGAGGTGCAGAAACCTAACCCCCTGGCTTGGCAGAGGCAGGGAAATAAATGCCTACAAAATGTTCGAGGCAGTCTTAGCCCTAGTAACAGGGTTTGGCAGCAGAAACCAAGAAAAGGTAGGCTTTGCCTGCAGCTTTTCTGCATTGCCACTGTGATACCTGCAACAGCTTCAACTCCTTGCACCAAATCTCCCTCTCCAGGCCCAGGCTGTAGGTGGTACAAAACCCCAACCTGCTGACATTGAAAATAACTGCTCAAGTTACACAGGAAAAAGAAAGAAAAAAAAAAAGAATCTAATCCAGAATCTTCCATGCCTCCATCTACCCTTCTGTCAAGCTAAATTTCAGCTGTGTTGCATTATTAATATTAAAAAATTGCTTGGAAATTCTTAGACTTAAAGAACATAGAAACATAAAATATTGTCCTAAGACTGAGAATGTGGTTTTGCGTATTAGATGACTCTTCCCCAGCAACCAGACATTGAGCTTCCAGGTCAGGCAGCCTGCACTAATCAAAGCCCCACACAAATTCCAAAGACATTCACCATCACCAGTGCAGACTCTGGTCCCAGCATATTTCAGGCCCAGCCATCAGCTAGCATGTAGTTTTGCCAATGTAGTGGAATTGAATTAACTAAACCTACTCAAGAAGTGTCTGGATTATGTTCTCAGAAGTATGGTCTGATTTTTGAGTAGTGCTATGTGGAGCCAAGAGCTGGACTCAATGATTCTTAAGAGTCCCTTCCAACTTGGGATACTCTATGATCCTAAGATTCTACTCATGGATGAGTTAGACCAGTGTTGGTCTAACTTATGTCCTTCTGCCTCACCTTACCATTTCTGCATCCATGTTGCAGTTGTCACTGATCCCTTTCTCACCTCCCTTCTAGGATGGCAAGCTATGGTGTCACTTCCCCTATTTTACCTGCTCATACTAGCAGAGAAGAGAGCTCTGTACTGACTTCTGCATCTCTCTATAATGCATCCAAGGGCAAAAAATAAAGGGGGCTGCACTGCCAGTGATAAGTAAGGTCTGGTGTGGATCAATACAAACCAGCTTTGGCATGTCTGCCATGTCCTGTGCTGCCTTGCACTCAACTATCTCTGCCCTATACTGCCATATGCAGTGTGTTTCACCAGTGTACTCCCTAATGCTACTGTACTCAGCCCTTCCTGATCCTACTGGGACCCCAACTGCCACTTGAAATGAGAAAAACTGTTTTTTATTTCTGTCATGTTCTACACAGATGGTTTGATGATTCCTCCTAGCAAGCATTTCACCAGTAGACAAAAAGTTACCATATCACAGTGCCTGTTCTGGCCTGCAAGTTAGCAAACAATAAATCTTAATTACACTTAAGTGCCAAAAATCTGAAAAGAGTGAGTCAATGTTAGTCAGCTGTGCATTGGTCCCGACTCCTGCCTCTGCTTTGGCTGGAGATGCAGCTGCAGGAATACATAAACTAGTTTTTGATTTGTTTGTTGCCAGTACAATCAGTGGTAGCTGCTCCTTAAGAGCATTTCCAGTATTAGTGGGCTTACTGGCATTCATCCTATTAGCATCTCAGATGCAGGTGGCATCTGGAAAGTTTTATTTTAAAAGACTTTTAGAAAAGTACTTTGGTTAATAAGAAGCATTATTTTAAAATATCTCGGCAGTTTTCCAGAGAGTAGCTCAGTCTCATGACATCTGCTCAGTGGATACTTGTTACCTTTGGGTTTATTGAAAGAAACCCTCTGAGCAACCCTTTTTGTTAGCAATCTGCTTCATAGGCCCTGCAACAGAATAATGCTGGAGTGAAAATGAAGTTGCTAGCAGAGAGGATTTTCTATGCTGTAACAAACTGGAACTGGAATTCTGGAACTTGCATGTCACAGCATTCAATAACATTGCCTGGTTTTCCTTGTTTTCCTCTTAGTGAAGTTTTACCATTTTTATTCAAGAACTGGGGCTGCAGATCTCAGCTCAGAGGGATGCAGTAAGGTTTCCAATTTGGAGGGGGATATCTGCTCTGGAGAGCATTTTACAGCAGAGGTGCAGGCAGCTCCAGTACATACAGTTAGGTTTGCACTTCTTCCCATCTTACACACTGCAGTGAGCCAATCTTAAGTAACTGCTCCCCCTGTTCAGGAGTGTTGACAAATTATGCTGGTTGAGTAATGGCTCATTCATTATACATAAAAGGAATCACCAGTTCATCTTCCGAATTTCACCTATTCCAATATTTAGCGTTCAATGGGAAAATGATTGAATGGAAGTCCTGCTAGTGAACAAGAGGATTTCATTTATAAGGAGCAAAGTAAGTCCCATTGCCAGAAAGAAAAACACACCTTTCATGAAATTCACCTTTATTAATAGCTGACAGAGCATAGCTGGTAAACCAACCCAGCTATTCAGCAGCTTCCATAAATTAAACCAAAGCAGAAACTGCTTTTACAAAAGCATCAGCTGGAGCTTGGGCTCCTGTTTGGTTACATCACTCAAGTCAGGTTTGCAGATTAAAGAGCAATAAAACTACAAGCGTAAGCCAAAGTGGAGGAATTGAAATGATGTTTTTCCTGTGAAATGTGAGCATAAGAACTGAGTATCATTCTGAAGATGCAGTTGGGGCCAAAACCTCTGGCTGTGTTGATGTGGCTCCACTGAAATCAAAGCAGCAAAACTGCAAGCAGAGACTGAGCTGATTCGCAACCCCTACGTATTTCACACTTCTGTGTAGTTTCTATTCCACCTTGAGGTCTAGATCTCCTTTTTATAAGAGGACAGAAATCGCTCATTTAAAAAATAACAAAATTATGTTTTCAGAAGTTATTTCATATCTTCTTCAAGTGCCAGAAAAATACAACCATTCTCTTCAACATCATAAAATCATAGAATGGCTTGGGTTGGAAGGGACCTCAAGGATCATCAAGTTCCAGGCCCCCTGCTGCAGGCAGGGCCACCAGCCTCCAGATGTGGTATAAAAGCAGGCTGCCCAGCGCCCCATCCAACCTGGCCTTGAACAGCTCCAGGGACGGGGCATGCACAATCTCACTGGGCAGCCTGTTCCAGTACCTCAGCACTCTCTCTGTGAAGAACTTCCCCCTGACACCCAATCTAAACCTTCCGCCCCTTGAGCTTAAAACCATCCCCCTTGTCCTATCACTATCTACCTGAGTAAAACGTTGATTCCGCATCCAAACATTCAAACTGGTAAATTCAGATTTGTGAGAGCGCTTCTAGCAAACAAAATGCAGAAATCAGGCAAAATCTTAGAGGCCCATAAACGTGTGCCACCTTCATCAAAGTATCAGAATAACACAGGAGACACCTAGGTGTTGGACAGAGCTCTAAAGTAACTCGATTCTGCTTCGGTGAAGGATATAGACTAAACTCAGAAAAGCTAGTTTTGGTAATAACACTCATTAGTTTCTGACCAAATCATGGATTTCAGATCATTCCTAAATTAAATAAAGTAAGTTATTAAGTCTTGGAAGAAGAACTTCAGCAGTCAGCTGGCACTATTGTGGTGCTTTTTTTTTTTTTTTTTAACCATGCATTCTGGGACACAGTTGTGGAGTTGAAACAAGTGGAAATGCAGAACAATTAAATTGCAACCATATGAAAAAGCACATGTTTTGCTACCATTATCTTACAGGGTCTTTTCTTGTGGTGTCAAACCTGGCTTCAGGAATGTTTTAGATGACAGAGAGTGTTTAGAAGTGAGAGTTGAGATCACCCCAGTGGTTGAGGTGACAGCTGCTATAAAGATGGACTTGAAAATGAAGCAGCATACAAGATATTCAGTAAGTATTCCAAGAGATATTTTAGGAGTCTTGGGAACATTAATTCCACATACAAATCAAAAGTTTTGTCCCTGGCTGCTGGGCAAGGGCTGTTAGAAAAGACTGAGAGTAATTAAATAAGCAGGCAACATGTGCAAATCAGTCCAAACCAATACGAACAAAGGCAACTTGTTTTAAATATAGACAAATGCCTTTGATAGCAAGGTCAGATTAAAAAAAAAAGAAAAAACAAAAAACAAAATTGAACTGCTTATAAAGAGAACTTTCTCCACTTTGACAAATATATTTCCTCCTATGTTTCTCTGCACTGTGTCAGGATCCCTGCATACAGATGTAGGGAACTGTGTCTCTGGGTGCTGCTCAGCCAAGCAACAGGAGTGTCATCAGGTGCAGTGGCTCTGGGTCTGAGCAGTGTATCTGGCTGCAGGGCTGAGATCAGATCCAGACAGTCCAGGAGCTGGATCAGAGTCTGATGACCATCTGCACTGAGTCTGTCAGCCAAAACCATCTTGGCCAGTACAGTGCTGGGGAATGATCGTGTCTTTGTCTCTTTTTGATCTTTCAGATTACCCTGGGAATCAGAGGAGCTACTGGAAAGGCATAACACAGGGCTCAGCAGGAGAATTACTGTCCTGGACCTGGGCCTTCTTGGAGCAGGAACTCTTATTCTTGGAGGTGAGCACATTTATTTTGGAGTCTTTGCGCTGTTGCCTCTCCACGCTAGGTGTGCATTTACTACTGACAGATTCCCTCAATGAGGAGCTGTTGCATTTTCTCCAGGCTCTTGGAAATGGACAACCATTTGGATTCCCTAGGCACATGTCAACCAGACTGGAGTGCAAAGTTCTCATGGAGATAGTCTTTCTTGGTGTAAATATATCACTATGCCCATGAAGAGTCATCCTCTTGATGTTTGAAGTACAGATCAGAATGCTGCTCAGGCCACTTCCCTATCTCCCACCTCCAAGATATCTGTATGTAATTTCGTAACACAGTTCCCGGGCCAACATTCTCTGACTACAGAGGTGGTAAAACAGATCAGTTCCCAATGCGTTAGTGAGGCAGCTGTGATTAAATTCTTTATCTGGGAAGCTTCCTCATGTGTTTGTGTGTTCAAGCTACCAAGCCAGTTCTGCAACAAGATGTAGCACCAAGATTTTCCTGTCTACCAGTGTCTTATCTGAGAAGAGACCAACTTGACTCAGAGCTAATGAGGTTGCCGACTAAATCCATAAGGCAAATTCACATGTATTAGGCTGACAAGAGATCTAATTATGGGGTGTTGGAATCATTTTGATACCCACAGGAATAGGAGCACTTGTAATAAAAGGAAATTTGCCAACAGGGAACTAAGATTTTACTGATCAGGAGTTAGTGATTAGCCCCATAGGCTGAGAAAAAATTAGCAACAACTAATGACATGTAATGAGATGTGCATATTTATATGATCTGAATGCCATGCATTCTTAGATGGCTAACAGCCGCTATTGGACTTTTTATGAAGATCTTCTTGCTCATGAGGGAGCAAATGGCAGGATTTTGTGCTTGAAATTGCTTGATCCCGTTTGATCCAAACCGCCTTCAGTCTACTCTGCTCATCATTCTTTTTCTCGCCACTTGGTCAAGAATTGACAAAAGTTCAGTACAAACAGTAGAAGGGACAATTTCTAGTTTTTGTTTTCCTGTCACCGATAGCCACTAAGGGTGAAAAAAACAAGAAAGAGCCACAAACATGCCTAACATTTTTAACCACAAATAGCTAGAAAGAGAAGCAAACAGCACAGAGCTGTTGCTTTTTTTGAAAAATCCCCCTTGGATATAGGTAACTTTAGTGAGATCCACTCTAACATAGACCTGAAGAGCAATAGCACACTTAGAACTGCTCCTCCAGCTTCCCGGGGGAGGAGAAATGAGAAGCAGCATGTTTTGACCTGCCCCAGGAGCAGGATCTGGAGGCAGTTCACAAGGATACCAACAGGGCAAATTGGAAAGGTGGAAAGGAGCAAGCCTGTGTGTGTTTCCTAATGCAGAGCAGCTTCTCCCAAAAGCAAATCCTTTGAAGAAAATGTGCAGGTAAGAACCATTAAACACTCCTGGGAGAGAAAAGGTTGACATCATATTTTTCCTCTACATAAAAATGTATTCCTACATACCTTACTTTGTAAAGCATGCCTAGGAGTCCAGCTCTCTTATTATCCTCCAGTGTTATTCCCCTCTTTTCTTATGCTAAGTCACTTGTGGGGAAAAAAAAATAACAGCAAAGCACTCTATTAATGGAAAACCTCTTCACTTCAATGGAGCCAAGAAATGCAAGAAATGCACACTGTCCCTGAATTCAGCTCAAGGGAATGAAGAATGGAAGTAATTCACAGCCATCTTATACCCGTCTAAGTCTCTCTCTCTCTCCATCTCATCCTACAGGCTTTCATCTTTAGTCTCAGTGGCACAGTGGCAGATGTCACTTTGGCACTGCTTCTGAGCTGTTCTCTGTGAATTAACAGTGGAATTCGATACAGGATCAGGTTCTAACAACCTCACTCAGTGACCCGGTACCATCTAACTACCAGAAATATTGTCAAAATTAAGGGCTCCCACAGGCTGTTACTGGTGATCCTACTAGTGTGCCAGCTAGAGTCCCCACCACCTCCTCTGGCCACAGATTTGCAGGCACATCTCTGGGTGTGGCTGGACTATACTCTCCGAAGGATGCTGAGAATCACATATCAGGTAGGCACTTGGCCTTAGCAGACTGTGCACAAGATGGCAATGGGGATAGCAGGTGGGTAGGGTACAGCATGGGCCATGTTTATGATAGCATTTTTTTTTTTTACAATCCTCTGATACTGTCTAGTCCAAAGCAAGGCTGTGAGCACTCACCTCAAAGCATGTAGGTAGCACTAAGTTCCCTTTTAACTCCTCATCTGCAAGTCTGCTGCAACACACCACTTAAATCATTTTTTTTTTTTCCTTTGCATTTTATTTCCTATGCTGATTTTCAGATAGATAGAGGAAACTG